ACTAAAGATGTCAATAACTTTTCACATTAAGCTCTACGTTAAATGGAGAGGTTTCCATATTACAATAATGTTATATTTGATCCATATGAATTATAATTTTTTGTCGATAGTATGTGATTCATAGTACTGTTAAGAGGAGCTCGAGACCCAACGAGCGATCTAATATTTTTAAAAAAATTTCCAGTATAAAGGACCAGAATGTATTGAATTTTGCTTTTGAAATGTCTCTACCATAGGCAAGTATTTTTTTCTGTTCCATAGGATTTAAAGGAAAAGGAAATGCCTAGGAGATAATTGTGTTGATATGATATGAGGGATACCTTTTAACTATTACCATTTGGGAAAACAACACAAAAGCCTGTAAATCCTAGCGTAAGGTGTTCCAAAGCATATCTTAGTGGGTATTTGTGTTGTAGAGGCTTCTGTACGTGGCATGGAAAATGTTTCTGAAATTCTGATAACTTTTTGATGCAGTTTATAAATAAAGATTTCTAATTGTAACGTAAATATTTATATTTCCTTCTTATATCATAAACTAGCAGAATCGCAGCCCTCCGGGCGGCTCATCCGCTAGGCAACGATAGGACGCCACCCTCCTGGAGGCTTCCACATTGTCTCACTGTTCAGTCCCCAAAACTTCTTCTTTCATCAATAGTTCATTAACGGTGTATGTAAGTTCCACCATGTTTTTCACTACAACGTTATAGCACAGTATATTTTTTTAGCATTAAACTGTTATTATTTTAGTGTCTAATCATCACTACATATAACATCATCCATCATCACTACATATAACACCATCCATCATCACTACATATAACACCATCCATCATCACTACATATAACACCACCCATCATCACTACATATAACACCATCCATCATCATTACATATAACACCATCCATCATCACTACAGATCGGTAAAGTAGTTTCCGAGATTCTCGTGCGGACATACAAACAAATAAGCAAATAAACAAACAGACAGACAGACTTCTTTGTTATATATATATATATATATATATATATATATATATATATATATATATATATATATATATATATATATATATATATATATATATATATATATATAGTTTTTTTTAAGTGTAATTCAGTTTTCGTATATAAACAGCGTGTGAGTGGGATGAATTTTAATTTCCAGGAATTTGACAAACTCTGGAAAACAGTTCTGACAACTGTACAATAACTATTAAAGTGGTTTTCTTTATTCATATCATCACCATTTTTGTTGTTAGTAGCTCAGAAAAGACAGCCCTTGCTTGAAGTGTTACAATAGTGGTGGAAGTCAAAAAACAAGCAGGTCCTGGGAAGTAAAATTTTGTTGCTCAGGACAAGGGGTAAAACAGGACCAGGGAAGAGTAGGTTTAAATGTATACTATACAAACAGTAGGAGCGTTAGAAATAAAATAGACTTGCTGAGAGCGGTTGTATGTACCGAGAATGTAGACGTCATAGCAATCACCGAAACTTGGATGAATCTGGCGAGCAAAAATTTTTTATCAGAGTACCACATAGAAGGGTACAACCTTTTTCACAAGGACAGGGAAGGTAGGAAGGGGGGAGGGTCGCACTCTTCGTCAAGGATACATTAAAATGTTGTACTAATAATTCAATAAAGGGTGAAATAGGAACCGAGTCTGTGTGGGTAGAAATCACGGAAGGAAGAGAAAAACTAATTATGGGAGTGATTTACAGGCCCCCAAGTCTTAGCAAAGAAACAGCTCAGCCCATATGGCAGGAAATGAGTAGGGCAGCAAAATATAACAACCTCTGCATTATGGGGGATTTCAACTTCAGAAATATTGACTGGGACAACATTGTAGGCGACTATGAATCTGAAGACTTCCTAGACGCAGTACAGGACAATTTTTTGAAACAACTAATTACAGAACCTACTAGAGGTGACAATATATTAGACCTAGTATTAACAAATAAAGAAAATATTATCAGAGATATCACAGTAGGGGAAGAACTAGGTAACAGTGATCACAGAGAAATCAGGTTCACCATAAATTGGGAAACGAAAAACAATGACAATATGGTCAGAGTCCCAAACTTTCGGTTGGCGGATTATCAGGGGTTAAGAAGGTACCTAGGTGAGGTCACCTGGGAACAGTCACGTCAGTTCCCAGTAGGAAGTGGTGAGGTGATAGATGACACAACAATTGATCATGACTATAATATATTCACCAGTATACTACATAAAGCACAAGAACAAAATATACCACACAGAAAAATTAGGTCAAATAAGAATGAGCCAAGGTGGATGACCAGAAAACTTAAACATGACATAGGAATAAAGAAAGGAATATATAAGAAATTAAAGGGAGGGGAGGAGCAGCTCAGAAACAGGTATAATGAACTATCTAGGAATGTTAAGAAAAATGTAAGGAAAGCAAAGAGAGACTATGAAATCAAAATAGCAAGAGAATCCAAGGCGAATCCCAAGGGATTTTTCCAGGTATATAGAACAAAGGTCAAGGACAAAGTCGGGCCTTTAAAGTCAGGGAGGGGAGAATTGATAAATGGCAGTGAAGACATGAGCAAAGCATTAAACATCTACTTCTTATCAGTTTTCACAGAAGAAATTTGCGATGAAATTCCGGAGGTGGAACTGATATTTAAGGGAAAGGAAGAAGAGAAATTAAAGAATATCACTATCAGAAAAGAGGATGTTCTTAAGAAGATAAATAAACTAAAGAACACAAAATCCCCAGGGCCGGATGAAATTTTTCCTCGAGTCTTAAAAGAGAACAGATTAGCGGACCCCTCGTAAACTTATTTACAAAATCATTAGACACTGGAGTTGTGCCAGAGTTGTGGAAACAGGCGAATGTAGTACCCATATTTAAAAAGGGAGACAGAGCATCAGCGTCAAATTACCGGCCGATCAGTTTGACGTCAGTAGTGGGGAAATTTCTTGAATCAATTATAGCAGATAGCATCCGATCGCATCTAGAGAAAAGCAAATTAATCTACGACTCTCAACATGGGTTTACAAAGGGAAAACCTTGTCTAACAAATCTGCTAACGTTTTTTAGGAAAGTCTTCGAGGTAGTAGATAATGACGAAAATTACAATGTTATTTACTTAGACTTTAGCAAAGCATTTGACAGAGTACCGCATCAGAGGCTTCTGAGAAAAATTAAGGCTCATGGTATCGAGGGGAAAGTTTTAAATTGGATAAAATCATGGCTCACCGATAGAACGCAGAGGGTCAGCGTAGATGGTGTTAAATATGAGTGTAACCAGTGGGGTTCCCCAGGGGTCAGTACTAGGCCCACTCTTGTCATAATCTACATAAACGATTTAGATACTGGGATCAGCAGTGACATAAGCAAGTTTGCGGATGACACCAAAATAGGGCGGCAAATTAATTCAGGGCAGGATGCAAATGCATTACAGGAGGATCTAAATAAACTGCAGGGGTGGTCTGAAAAATGGCAAATGAAATTCAACACCAGCAAGTGCAGCGTACTTAATATTGGAAGAACAAATACTTATAATGTATACAGCCTGAACAACATCAACCTAGAGAAGTCGACTTGTGAAAGAGACCTAGGGGTACTTGTAAGCCCGGACCTACGGCCTAGAAAACAGTGCGTTAATGTTCAAAATAAGGCAAACAGAGTACTGGGTTTTATATCTAGAAGTGTAAGTAACAAGAGTGCAGAGGTCTTATTGCAACTATATCTTGCGCTAGTTAGGCCGCACCTCGATTATGCGGTTCAGTTCTTGTGCCCCTATTATAGAATGGATATAAATTCACTAGAGTCGGTGCAGCGAAGAATGACAAAAATGATTCAGGGACTTAGAAACCTTCCATATCAGGATAGGTTAATGAAACTTAACTTGCATTCCCTAGAAGGACGAAGAGTGCGGGGAGATATGATAGAAGTATTTAAGTGGGTGAAAGGAATCAATAAAGGGGATATAGATAAAGTTCTTATAATATCCGAGCAGGATAGGACTCGGAGCAACGGATTCAAGTTGGATAAGTTTAGGTTTAGGAGGGAGATAGGAAGAAACTGGTTCACAAATAGGGTGGTGGACGAGTGGAACAAGCTTAGCAACTTTGTAGTAAGTGCGGGAACTCTGGAAAGTTTCAAAAGGAGGCTAGATAGATTCATGGATGATAGAGAGTGGTAGTAACTCTCGACAGGAGCTGCCATGCACAGGCCAACCGGCCTATTGCAGACTCCTTATTTCCTTATGTTCTTATGTTCTTATGCCGGGTAATGCTGCATATGCATATTAGGGAAAGTCACTTTTATGAACTTCTAGCACTACATTAAGTTTGACTTAAGTTAAAGTGAAATTAACAATGGAAATAAAAAATCATTGAGCACTAATAATAACAGATTTGTTACGCCTTTCCCAGGCTGTGGACAATATTGACACATTCACCGCTTAACAAATTAAGTATTTATAAGCATAATTCATACTTTCGTTATATATAAATGTGATAAGAAATAATTTTGAAAGATTACTTCATCTTTGTTAACTAATTGAAATTGCTCTCTCACAAACAATACCTCACTAGTCGGGAATCGAACCCTGGACCTCCACATGTAAAAAGGATCACTACCACCGCACCACAAGGAAAACAAAACTATTCCTAGGCTTTGTTTTGTTCCACACAAAGGTATTGTTTGTATATGCCTTTGTTTGAAATAAAACAAAGCCTAAGATTGAATTTGTTGTCCTTGTGGCGCGGTGGTAGTGACCCCTGCTCACACAGAGAGGTCCTGGGCTCGATTCCCGACTTGTGAGGTATTGTTTCTATATGGAAGTACGCATGGTATATGGACTGGTTTTATATATATATATATATATATATATATATATATATATATATATATATATATATATATATATATATATATATATATATATATATATATATATATATATATATATATATATATATATATATATATATATATATATATATATATATATATATATATACTTTCTTACACTAAATATTATGGGAAGTCGTAGACGATTGGAGATGAATAAGGATCCAGCAGAAACATCCAGCTGTTGCCAACACAGGGAACGATACTTGTGACACTCCATTTAACTTTTGGGCTGACATTAATCCCTTGTTTTGAGAATTGAAAATACTGGCGGCTGGGTTAGGTACAGTAGACAGAGTGTTGGGTTCTACGGGCATGATCTTATGTGCGCTCTTATATACAAAATTAGACGAGTCTCCAGACCGTTTTTCTTGCATCCTTTGATTCTCGATGAACACAAGCATTACGATGATGAGGAAGTCAGTGATGATGAGGGTGACGTACCAAATGTCGATAAGCTTGAGGTAGGCGGTCTTAGGGATGGACTGACTGGTCTGTGTGAAGAGCGCGGCCAGCACCAGCAGGGACGTCAGCGAGACCATAATACGATCCTGTGAGAAAGATATTTTGATTTAAGAGGCCAATATTTTCAAACAATTGTACTGTAGATATTTTTCTACATTCAGGTCTATATGACATCGCTGGGTTATAATGGACGAATTGACGGTCGGCATTTTTCGTAAGATGGCAGGTCAATGGGTAAAGAAAACGCTTAAATTCACTATGGTAATGGCAATTTGAAATAAATTGGGCCAAAAAGTGTCAAAAATAAAGGTTAAAGTTGGTGAACAGTCACGTGACTGCTAAAAGCTCTGTGATTGGTTGTGACGTCACTGGTTGGAGTGAGCTTCCCATGCAGCGGGTGTTGGTCATCTGGGGAACCTTAAGATTCTAACTAAGGGATTAAGTACTTTAAACAATAAGACACATTATCTCTACAGGATTTCTGTAGCAAACCATTTTTCGATAGCATAAGAATATACAGATCATATGTTAGGTTAGGTTAGGTTAGGGTATGATAAGTTATAAGGTTATCTTAACATACATTGGGAAGGGGAGGTAGTAACTCAAAACTAGTGATTTCCGATAGAAATGAAGGTCTAAATCGTTCATAACAAATCGCAAACCATCAGAAATAAAGAAACATAGTCTGCATGTCTAAGTACAGGGATGAGCCTATCTCGAATATAAACATCAACATACTTATGGTAGTTGAAGTAAACTTTTACCCATTAATTAATATAAATGATGATATATCCCAGTGGTTCATTAGTGAAACATCAAAACAAAGTCATTACTTCTAAATTTACTTGTATCTCCATCTACTGTAGTCCTGATATACTCTGTAAATGCACTGAAAAAAAGAAGAGAAAGTCTACCAGGTAAGAGTACATGAATGTTAAGTTTTAAATGCAAGGAAGTGGTTTTCTTACCGTAGAACTCAGATACCTTCACACTGATTACTCACCCAGGAGATTATGGTGTATCACTACGTAGAATTTCACTCTGCTTCCGGCATTCAATGCGTTGTGTACTTGATAAATGATGATTTAATGAATTCCATTAACTTCCAACATCCATCTAAGTTATTGGTTATACTTTGTCATAACCAATCAGTCATTACCCTTGGTAATAATAATAATAATAGAGGGGTCACAGATACGGGTATATAATTGCACTTACGTTTATTTGGCACAATTCCATACACTGGACTTATAATTTGCATGGATAGGTCAGTCACTCCCATTCGCGCCTCAGTACAGTAAGTTATAAGGGGGAGTTGTCAACCTGGAGAATTAATCGTTAGATCTATTAGGCCGGCCTAGAGTGCTCTTGTAGCAAACAGGCCCTCACCATTGATCACTTCCTTTACAGGATGTGTTAACTTGTCGCTGGACTTAATAACAATCTCGGGGATTTGCACACACAGACTCGTAGCACTGGTAGGACTGTATGGCCCCTGTTCTAAATCCGCGGAGCAGGAGGTCTACTCTCACCCAAGGTCTATAGCCCACTGACTAAAATGTGGTTTTGAGGCGTGAAATGACCCCTATCGACTGGCCGGGTATCTTATCTCTACCTAAACAAACATTTGGGAAGGATTGTGCGGGAGGCCCAACGCAACCCATGACAATGACAGCTGAGCTGGTGTGAACATGGGAGTTTTTTTTATGTCCAAAAGAACATAAGAATGCAATGAACTGCAGCGGGCCTACTGGCCCATAGTAGGCAGTCGCATTTACACTCTTCAAGGCACATTTCTTCACTTACGAAATGTCCATGACTTAGACCACAAAAAAACATCCTTAAAACTTACCTGTACGGGGCATTTGGGGTCTGAAGAGGCCACCCTTTCTACTACCTCCGACTTCAGCTATGAGTTTATAATAGTGACGTCTTTGCAAATGGCGGACCTGTTTCTAGAGAAATAAACTTATCCTGACAATCATAGCAGGACTTTAAATTTTTATTACAAACTATATATACCGCATCACTCTACGAACGTTGCAGAGTGTATTTCTTGTGTTTACCCAGAACCGTCAACTCGTCCATTGACCAAAAACACAAAACTATATTTTCTATCACCTTTGAGACCTGTTTAAGGAATTAATATGTACAGTCTATTGAAAGGTACATTTTTCAACATCGTCTTATTTCATTCAGACAAAACAGAACAGTAGCACAAAATACGTTTTATTAGTTAAAACTTTACCAATAAAATCATCGAAGGGGCCAAAATAATATATGCAAATGAATTGTGTGCACATTTGTTGGTAATAATGGTAAATATTCTTATAATATATATCGTACCGTAAAGTCGTCGAGGTCGAAGAAGAAGGTGAGGTAACAGATGGTGGCCATGAGCAAGCTGGGCACCACAGCGTTGCCGATGTAATAACCATATTGGTTCTGGAACACCAACCGCAGCTGTTGATAGGATTGATTAACATTACCTACATAATTCAATAAACTAATTAAAACGCATTTTTAAAGCTATGAGTGTGTCGGACACTGAATTTTAGGCTAACTTACGCTTATGATGGTTCACAAGGTAGTTATATATTTAGACCACAGGTAACAGGCAATTCTGTAACACCGTAAGATATATCTTAAAAATTAAAAGAAAATTAAACTTAACATTTCATAATGCATTATTGAGTCTGCACACTGATGCTTATACTTGGTAGTTTGAAGCTTCAAGGTGGGCAAAATATTGACCTCTGAGACGTCAATTTTGTCTGCGTTAGTTAATCAGACTGTTTCTTCAATCGCTTTGTTCCTTAACCTGACGGCCACAGATCTGTTAATAGTGTTCCCATGTCTCAAGTGCTTTCAAAATTATAGAGTGCAGAGATCAAGTAAGGGAGGGATTAGCGGTGTTCAATTGACTTTGTCATAGTGGTTAATTGCCTAATATTGAACCTTTGGGGGGAGTTATATTGTCTCACGAATATAAAGGAGATCTGTCCTTATTTTATATGTATAAAAAAATTTTGTACCCTTCAGAAGCTTTGGAGCCTTATGGGGCTTCGAATAGGTGTCTCTGAATTAACGTAAAGTTTATCCCGCAGGGAAGAGAGTGGCAAGAGCAGATTCGTTCTATTGCTTGTGCTGACATAAGAACATAAAGAATATAAAAATAGAGGAACTTCAACGGAGCTATTGGCCCATCCTGGGTAGTCCCGTTTAAATTCAATCCCTATCACTCTCATATCCGTCCAACCAATTTTTGAAGCTACCCAGCGTGTTCGAGTTAATGATGTGTGGTAACTTGTTCCACTCATCCACTACTCTATTTCTAAACAAATGTTTACCTATGTCTCGCCTAAATCTAAATTTGTCTGATTTAAAACCATTCCTGCGAATTCTTTCCTGGTTGGATAGTTTAAATATCTTTGTTATATCACATTTGTTCAGCCCTGACTTCCATTTATACACCTCGATCATATCGCCCCTCACTCTACGTCTTTCGAGTGAGTTCAAATTTAGATGCTTTAATCGTCTCAATACTCAAGGTTCCTAATGGCATGGATTAGTCTTGTCATCCTCCTCTGTGTGTTTTCTAGGGATTCGATATCCATTATGTAGTTCGGTGATCCGAACTGAACCGCGTAATCCAAGTGAGGTCTCACCAGCGCAAGATATAGTTTTATGATGACCTCGCTGGTCTTGTAGCTAACACTCCTTTCTATGAACCTAAGTACTTTGTTGGCCTTGTTTCAAGTAAATACACATCGTTGAGTCGGAGAGGGAGTACCATAGAACACTGGAAACAGTTTGCCGGGAAGAGATACATAACCAAATGGATGATGCAGAGGAAAATCAATGGGAACGCGACTGGGAGAATCAGAAGTTGTCTTGTGAATCTCAATTCTTGTCTCAGAAACTTCAGTTGGCTCAGTTACAAGGTACATAGAGGGAAGAACAACATGGACACGCTTCTCAACGGGTACAAGTAACAACGGGCGTGAAGGCAAAGGGGAAACATTCCCTCATTTTAACTCTAACAGAAGATGATATTGATTCTTATCTCCGTAAGTTTGAACGCTTTGCTTCAGCTGTTGGTTGGGACCAGGTAAACTGGGATATAATTTTAAGTTCATATCCACAGGGAGTGGCGCTTGATGTGTATTCAAGACTAAACCAAGACGAAGCAGACGACTACAAAACTGTGAAGCAGGCACTAATGGACTGGTTCGAGTGTATTAAAGAAGGATACCGAGGAAATTTTTGGAAGGTACGACCCCAACGAGGAGAGAAAGTAAGCCAATTTGTGACTAGTCTTAATAATTTACTTAGCCGACGGATATAGATGTCAGAGGTAGAAGACAGTGTATATGGTTTAAAAGCTTTAATTGTGAAGGAAAAGCTCTTCAACTGCTGAAAATTCATCTTAAGGAAAGGTACCCACTGAATCTAGACGCTGTTATTGTTTGGGCAGAACCTTATGTCGAAGCTCATGGAGGTTTTCGAGCTAATTCATCGTTAGTTAAGAGCCAGTTATTATGAGAAGCAGCAGGAAAAAACAGAGAAAGACAAGTCAGAAAAGCTTAAGATTACAGATTATCTCAGAACTGTAAATAAACCAGAAACGACTACAAAGAGGCCCTTTTCGTTTCGTTTTTTTTATTGGGCACCCCCCCACCTACATAAGCGTTTACAGCGCCCAACAGGGAAGCATGCTAAATTCATGCTTGCCTTATGTCTCATGAGTTAAGGGCGTAGAAGCCTGAGGAGTCAAGGGCATAGAAGCCTGAAGAGTCAATGGTTTATGTCTAAGCAAGTTATTGGAAGCTCCAACAACAGGTACAAACTTTGGTGCTAGGTGAACAGGGACCAAGGGGACTAGGAAGAGTGTCCAAACAACCTCCGCCGGCCCGGGAATCGAACCCATGACATCTTGCTTGCGAGGCAAGATCGGTAACGCTCTACCACCATAAATAGGCTGACTGTAAGTTGCGGAAGATGCATCAGGCTAGTCTGTATCAAGAAAATAAGTTTACTACTAACAGTAAGTAGTCTCCGAAACCACCTGGTACTGCTAATGTGAGTGTTTTGGTGAATATGTCAATTTCAGCTGGATTATTATGTGGGCAGGATGTTCAGGTGTTAAGGGATATTGGTTTCAGTACGGCTGTCATTCAAAAGAATCTTGTACCTGCCATTTGCTTTACTGGTGAACAACGGTTGGTTAAATTAGCTAATATCCAGGTTTACAAGTGTCCTGTGGCTGAAGTAGAGGTGGAATCTCCATACTTCAGTGGAAGGACTCTAGGTCTGTGTATGCCTAACCCTGCATATGATGTAATGATTGGGAATACACTATTCCATGAGCTACTCCACTCTGCCAGCACCAAATGAGTTAGTTTTCTCAGGCGTGTCCTTTGACCACTCGGGCTGGAGCAGTGCAGGCATTGGATCATCCCATTAAGCTTCTACGATATATGAATCTTCCACAAGGATTGCAGTTGACGGAAACAGGGCTTATAAATGCGCAGCACAAGGATTCCACACTCGATAAATGGAAAGAGTATAAACTACATGGCCATCCTGTGGGAACTAAGCAGAAGTGTAAGTTCTTTATGAAACGAGGTTTGTTATACAGGATTTTTGAGGACAGAGGTGCAGAAATTAGATAACTTGTTTTACCAAAGATGCTTCGGAGGGCAATGATGCAAGTTGCTCATGTAGGATTGCTTGGGGGTCATTCTGGTGTAGGAAAAACGAGTAGTAAAGTTAAAGAAAATTTCACTTGGCCAGGAATCTGAGTGGAGATTCGCAGGTTCTGTCAATCTCGTGATCTTTGACAGCGAGTAGTTCCGAAGGGAAAAGTTGTCAAGGTTTCCTGGGGTGAGATACCTCTGATTTACAGTCCTTTTAAACGGGTCGCAATAGACATTGTAGGACCTATTGAACCCAGAAAGTGTGTTGACTATGCTACTCGTTATCCCGAAACCATATCCCTACCAGGAATCGACGCTCAACTGGTAGCAGAGGCTCTTCTGGGCATCTCGAGAATTTCAATACCGGAGGAATTGGTGTCGGATCGTGGGACATAATTTACATCAGAGGTGATGAAGGAGATTAGAAGACTGTTTTTCCATTCGGCATTTGTCAACTACTCCCTATCATGCAATGGGAAATGGTTAAGTGGAGAGATATTATGGCACTTTTAAGGCAATGCTTAAAAAAAAACACCACAACCACCGGTTATGGAGCGCGTACGCCCTCCTAACCGCGACCCCAGCCTGAACCGCCAACCTGACGACCAGAACCACGACAGGCTCCGCACAGAGAAAGCGGACCAGTTACGCGCCTTCAACGAAGCCCTGAAAAGCAAGAACACTGCCACCACCTCCAACAACTCCACCATCACTGTTACCGCCACTGAGGACGACAACTGGACGAAGGTTGAAAACAAAAAACGCCGACGTGCTTTTTCGGGAAACGAATGCCGTCAAGCAGCCCAAAAGGCACCCAACACCACCACCAGCTCACCTCCAACGACACTGCCAAAATTCCGGATCTCGAAAACGGACACAAAAACGACATATGCCGCCATCACAGAGATGGAAAAACTAAATCCACTGGCCAAGTTCTCAGTGCGGCCCAACCTAAAGGGGGAGATGATTATTCACCCCAAAGACAAGGACTCCGCCACCACCCTCGACACTTACCTGCAAAACACCACCACCGTTGCATCAACCAAGCTGGACCCAGCCCAGAATCTGATGAAGTCGGTAGTCCTCCGGTACCCAAAGGAACTACCCCTCGAACCCCTGGAGAACCACCCGAAGATCCTAAAAGCCGAGAGATGCTCTCCCCTGTCCGACAAGACGGCCACCACAAAACAAGTGCTCATAACGCACTACGGTTTACCCCCCAGCTCCATAGACCTCAAAACCTGGGGGATCTACAAAGTGAGGCCCTTCGTCCCAGAGCCCCTGTGGTGCTTCAGATGCCAGAAATACGGGCACCATCAGACAAGGTGCACGTACAAGGAAATCTGCGCAGTCTGCGCACAGAAGCACGGCACACACTCCTACTTCACCAAGTTGAAAAATGGAGAAAAAATTACCCCCAAGTGTGCCAACTGCGGGGACAAACACCACACCTGGAACCCTGGATGCTCCGAGAGGACAAAGAGGTCCAGGCAAACCGACCAGCAGCAAGACCGGCCCCCACCGCCTGCACACCAGCCCCACCAAGTACCTTCGTGTGGGGAACCCAAAGGCCAAAACAACAAAGCCAACCTCCTCAGCCGGTCAAGACCCAAAGTGCAGCCCAGTTTCCTGGCCTCACTACGGCCACACCTCAGCCACCCAACCAGCAGGCAACGACAACCACGAAAAAGACAAAAGAAGCACACACCAAGGCACCAGAAGGAATGATACATGTATCAGACCTAGCCAAGGTACTGACAACCTTCGCAGAGGGCCTAGCCGGACTACTGGGCCACAAGATTCAACCCACACAGCTCCAAATACTCATGGGGAGCGTCCTCGGGCAAGTCGCCACAGCTCCAGCCACCTCAGTGGAGGAAACCACGCCGGTCCTCACACAAGTGACAGCCGAGGTACACTCTACACCGAAAAAGGCCACAAGAGAACCAAAGATACCGACAGCTCCCAGAGAGAAATTGGACGTTTCAACTCCCCTGAACCGAACCACGGCCCAGAAGGCAAAAACCACAGAACAAGAAGATATGAACCTGATCCAGTCGGAATCGGACCTGAACATTTCCATCGAGGACCACCAGAAGTCCCCGATGAAACAGTGGTGGAAAACATCAGCACCCTGAACATTAGGGAGTGACAGTTTGGCAAAAGTTTTCAAAATCTAATTGCTTGGGTTGGATTATTTGTCTATCGGCCACGCTAATTCCGAATATGTTTGAGTTTTTTACATCATTGCATTAAAAGGTTTGTGGATACTTTTGGGTTTGGCATGAAAAACGCGAAAAAACTGTAAATAATAAAGGGACTGGCAATGTGGCACAACCTGTTAAAATCAAGTTATTGAATTGGATTATTCGACTACTGTGTACACTGGTTCATAATATGCTATTGTTTTACAACTCAATGCGCTACAAATTATGCCGATATTTTTGCTGCAAGTCACCACATACGTATATTTCGAAAACCAGGGCCCAATATTACCAACGGCGTGGATAGATTCCGTGGAATGAATTCAGGACATTCCCGCTCATGGAACATTACCAAACTCCGTATATGTGCCAATGGCAGGCCAATGGCAATATTTACAGAGTTTGTTGAGGCTCCCTGGACGGGAATGCCCTGAATTTATTCCACGGAATCTATTCACGCCGTTGGTAATATTCGTCCCAGGACTGATCAACGAATTCAGCCCAAGTAGCTTGACTTGGACAGTTAAGGACAAAATCTCAGTCCGTACTTTTGAATAAAATATTGTTCAATAGGTGGTGATATTGAAGTGCTGAAAGTTGTTTTTTCTGTGTTGTTTTGCAGTTAGTTCAAAGGGCCGCCACCAAGATGGGTCGTCCTAAGATTAGCAACACTCAGCTGCGCCAGGGTAACGATAAGGTGTTCGGGGTTCGGATGCCTCTGCCATCTAACAAGTTGCCTCTGAACAAGGAAGTTGGAAGTGCCCTGGCTTATGAAGCAGAAAACGAGAGGTTAAGGAGAAGAACAAATGCTTTTGATAATATGGATGCCACCAACAAGGTGACTGAGAAGGTGCTGGATGTGTATAGGAAGGCCACTGTCCCCACTATCTCTGAAATCAGGGTGAAAATGAGAGTCCACGACCTGTGGA